ATATATATTGCTTTTCCCTTCCTTCTTTTCTCCATTATCCCCTCTCAGATTCTCTTTCCTTTTGAAGTTTCCTCCCAGTTTACAATATCTGTTGTACTTTTTGGATCTTATTTACTCTTTCAGTTTATCATGCTAGGGAAATAATGCAATATTTACACATATTTGTCTGGTTTATTTCACTTATGAGTATGGTCTCAAGTTGCATTCATTTACCTATAAGTCTCCAGTTTATCCTTCTTTCTGGCTGAGTAGTACTCCATTATATAAAATGACCACATCTTTTTTATCCATTCCTCAGTTGATGGTTATTTGCATTGTTTCCAAGATGTAGCTATTACAAATTGTGCTGCTATAAACCTGGGTGCACATATATTGCTGTAGTACAATGGTTTTAATTTTTCTGGGAAGATACCTAGCAGGGGAATAGCTGGGTCAAATGGGACCTCTAATTCTAGTGTTTTGAAGAATCTCCATACTGGTTTCTACAGTGGTTGCTCCAGTCTACATTCCCACCAACAGTGGATAAGTGCTCCTTTTCCCCCCACAGTCTCTCCAGCAGTTGTTATTGGTTGATTTCTTGATGGTAGCCATTCTTTCTGGGGTGAGATGGACTCTCAGTGTTGTTTTAATTTGCATCCCTCTAATGACTAGTGATGTTGAACATTTCTTCATAGATTTATTTGCCATCTGTATTTTTTGGTTTTGAGAACTGTGTATTCACCTCAGATGCCCATTTTTGGATTGGGTCTTTAAATTTGGGAGGTCTGATTTTTTTGAGTTCTTTATACATTCTTGATAGTAATCATTTATCTGAGGAACAGCTGGCAAACATTTTTTCCCACACTATGGATTGGCTCTTCACTCTCTTGGTGATTTCTCTTGCTGTTCAAAAGCTTTTCAATAAGATGAGGTCTAGGTTGTTGATTCTTTGTGATAGTTCCTGTGTAATTGGGGCTTTATTCATAAAGTCTTTGCCTACAACAATGACTTCAAGAGTTTTACCTACTCTATCTTTCAGCAGTTTTAATGTTTCTGTTTTAATATTTAGAACTTTGATCCATTTCTAATTTAGTTAAGTGCATGGTGAAAGGTATGAGTCCAGTTTTAATATCTGGCATGTTGAGAGCCAGTTTTTCCAGAACCATTTATTAAAGAGGCTATCTTTCTTCCAGTGAATACGTTTGGTGTCTTTGTCAAAATAAGGTGGCTGAGTAGGTCTAGAGTTGCTTCTGCATCTTCTAATCTGTTCCATTGACTTTTGAGTTTTTTGTTTGTTTGTTTGTTTTTTGCAGTACCACACTGTTTTTATCACAGTAGCTTTATGGTATAATTTCAAGTCCAAGATTGTGATGCCCCCTGCCTTGCCTTTGTTGCTCAGAACTGCCTTTGCTATTCTAGGTCTTTTCTGGTTCCAAATTAATTTTAGGATTGCTTTCTCTAATTCTGTGAGATATGCTGCTGGAATTTTGTTTGGAATAGCATTAAATCTGTATAACAGTTTTGGACATATGGTCAAATTCACTATTTCCTACCCAAGAGCAAGGGATATCTTTGCATTTTCTGGTATCCTCCTCAATCTCTTTTTCAGAGTACTGACGTTTTCAATGTAGAAGTCTTCTACACCCTTAATTAGATTCATTCCTAGGTATTTCATTTTTAAAATGCTATTATGAAAGGTATTGTTTCCCTAATTTCCTCTCTCAGTGAGTTTATTATTCATGTACAGAAACACTATTGGTTTTTGAGTGTTGATTTTGTATCCAGCTATGCTACTGAATTTGCTTATTAAATGTAGCAGGTTTTTAGTGGAATTTTGAGGGTCTTCCATGTAGAATATCATGTCATCTGCAAATAATGATAATTTAACTTCTTCCTTTCCTACCCGTATTCCTTTTTTTTTTTCTCTTGTCTAATTGCTTGGCTAAAGTTTCCAGGACTGTATTGAATAAGTTTGGAGACAGTGGACATCCTTGTCTTGTTCCTGATTTTAGAGAGAAAGCTTTCAGCTTTTGTCCAATGAGTATGATGCTGGCTGCTTTTTTTGTCATAAATTATCAGATTCAGATGAAGACTACATGTTTATGAAGTTCTTGTGGTTTCTTTTGCCATTGATTTTCTGTATGTTTTTATTATGAGTGGGTGCTGAACTTTGTCAGAAGATTTTTCTGCATCTGTTGAGATGATCATATGGTTTTTGCCCATGGTTCAGCTAATATTATGTATTATATTTATTGATTTAGGAAGGTTGAACCATTCCTGGGATGAATCCCACTTGGTCATGGTGTATAATCTTGATGATTTCCTGCATTCTGTTTGCCAGCATCTTATTGAGGATCTTTTGCATCTATGTTCATTAGAGAGATGGGCCTATAAATCTCTTTCTTATTTGGATCTTTCTCTGGTTTTGGTATTAGGGTAATTCTTGCTTCCAGGACTAAATTTGGGAGTACTGCTTCCCTTTCAATTTCCTTAAAGAGTTTGAGAAGTGGTGGTGTTAGGTCGTCTCTAAATTTCTTGTAGAATTCAGCTGTGAATCTATCAGGGCCTTTTCTTTGTTGGTAAGTTTTTAATTACATCTTTGATTTCATTGATTGATACTGGCTTGTTTATGATATTTATAACTTCTTGATTCAGCTTTGGTAATTGATATGTATCTATGAATCTGTCCATTTCTTCTGCATTTTCTACCTGACTAGAATACAAGTTTTCAAAGCAGGTATAGATGATCTTCTGGATTTCTACAGGGTTCATTGTGATTTCACCCTTTTCATTCTTAATTGCGTGGATTCGAGTCTTTTCTTTCTTTTTTTGTTTTTTTGATAAGGTTGGATAAGAGTTTGTCAACTTTATTTAATTTTTCAAAGAACTAACTCTTTGATTCATTAATCCTTTGTATTTTTTTTAGTCTCCAATGCATTAATTTCTGCTCTGATCTTTATAATTTCCTCCCTCATATGAGCATATGGTTTAGACTGCTCTTCTTTTTCTAGAAATTTGAGGTTCACTATTAAGTTGTTTACTTGAGCTTACTCTGTTTTCCTGATGTGTGTATTCACAGCTATACATTTCCCTCTTAGGACTACTTTCATTGTGTCCCATAAGTTCCAGAATGTTATATTGTCATTATCATTTAATTGTAGAAACTGTCTAATTTCTTCTTTAATTTCATCTGTGACCCATTGGTTATTCAGGAGGGTGCTATTTAACTTCCAAGTATTTATGAAGTTCTTGTGGTTTCTTTTGCCATTGCTTTCCAGTTTCATTGCACTATGATTTGATAATATGCATGGGATAATTTTGATTCCTTTGCATTTACTTAAACATGTTCTATGAGCTAGTATGTGGTCTATTTTAGAGAACACCCCATTCACAGCTGAGAAAAATGTGTATTCTGACGTTGTGGAGTGGAACACTCTGTAGACTTCTACTAAGTCCATTTGTTCAAAAGTTTGGTTCAGTTCTAATGTTCCATTGTTGATTTTTTTATCTAGTTGATCTGTCTTTTTGTGATAGTGGGGTATTGAGATCCACCAATACAATTACATAAGTGCTTATTTGACTTTTTATTTCAATTAATATTTGTTTTATATAATTGGATGCACTGTTATGTGTTGCATATATACTTATGATTGTCATCTCTTCCTCTTGGATTGTTCCCTTTATAAGGATATAGTGACCTTCTCTATTTCTCTCCATCAGTCTAGGTTTGAAATTCAACTTGTCTTCAGATAACTACCCCTGCTTTTTTCTGTGTTCCTGTTGCATGTAATATTATTTTCCATCCTTTGACTTTGTCTATGAATTTCTTTTTGAATTAAATGTGTTTCTTTTATGCAGCATATTGTCGGATCTTGCTCCTTGATCCATTCTACCAGTCTGTGTCACTTGATTGGTGAATTGAGACCCTTAACATTGATGGTTACAAATGATATGTGTTGACTTATCCTTGACTTGTTATTTTCCTGCATTTGGCTCCCCCTCTTTTTTGCGTCCCTCTGTTTATTTGTTGGCCTTGCCTAGTGGATACCTTCTGTTGGGATTCATGGAGTTCTAATCCTTGTTTGCTCTTCTAGAATGTCCTTCAAAACATTTTGGAGTGCTGGTTTGGTAGTCATAAATTTCCTCAGCTATTCTTTGTCATGGAAGCATTTTATTTCTCCATCAGCTTTGAAAGATAGTTTTTGGGGTACATCAATCTGGATTGAAGATTGTTTTCTTTTAGAACTTGAAATACTTCTCTCCAAGCTCTCCTTGACTTGAGGGCTTGTGCTGAGAAGTCAGCTGTGATTCTGAGGGGTTTTCCTTGATAGGTGATTTGTTTCTTTTTCTTAAAAGCTTTTAAGATTCTATTCTTGTGTTGAATTTCTGGAATCTTGTCTATGATATGCCTGGCTGCAGATTTTTTTATCATGGCTAATTGGAGTTCTATATGCCTCACTCACTGTATGTCAATTCTTTTTCTCTACCAGGTAAGTTTTCTTGCCTTGACTTCTGTGAAAAGTTTTTTTATATATCATTTATGTTATATCTTGCTTTGTCATTGACTTCAATCAATCTTAAGTTATTCTTCTTTGCCACAATTAGCAGCTGCTGTATTGATTTTTCACTATTTCAGTGACATACTTCTGGACTTATCAAATATAGTTAATAATCCTTAAAAACAAAGACAATAATTTTCATTGTATTTTTATCATGTTTTCTTCACTCAGCTCAAACACATGCATACAAACATATGTGCATTCATGCACATCATAATTTATGAATGTGTGGCAGAGCTGATGTGATATAGATGTTCAGTCTCTAACCTAATGATTTGAGAATCTGCATTTCCCATTTCCAGAAAATATGATGAGAAAAACATTAGATGGTCTGGGGTTCAAGAACTTACCTGTCACATGGATGGTTGTTGAGTGAGAATGAATGAGATGAGAAGAGACATTCACAGAACAGCGATATGAGCCATTGTCAGTTGGAAGCACTGGTTCAAAGTGTAGCAGAAAAATCGACTTATTGAGCCCTTCTTGCCAACTTGTGTGTAGCCGAAATCTATCCTCAAAAGGGTAACAGACTGTTCCATTGAACTTGCACCAAGTCACATTAGGTCTGTGACCGCAGTGTTTCACAGGGCATTCCATTTTAAAAGAAGTTCTTGCTGAAACAGTGTGTTCTGAATGTCTCCTAATACGAAGTTGTACATCACATGACTCCTCCCCTAAAGGATAAAAAGAAATGAAAATAAAATCTATTCTTCCAAAAGGATGATATATATGTCCCTCCAGCACAATTTGCCAAATATTTCTCAAGCATTATTTTACAATATTCCTAGATAACATTTTCTAGTAATTAAACTTCACTAACCCAATGCCTGGTACATAATAGGCACATAAAATATTTTCCTTTACTATTTTGAATATTTGCTTTTAAAAATCAAATAAATTAATTTTCTCAAAAAATAATATAATTAGTAAGAACCTTGCTATATAGAGGATGAGGTAGTAAAGAACTCGCCTACAGTAATATGCTAATAATTAAGAGAATTAAAATTTAAAGTTATACTCTTCTTATTACTCTATACATCATTAGCCATTAGTTCATGTTACTACATTTATTTTTCTCCATATTGGGAAATGAACCCAGGGCTTTCATCTTGAGCTACATCCCCAAAACTTTTAATTAATTTATTTATTTTAATTTTGAGACCAGGTCTTCATAAGTTGTTCAGGCAGAAACTGAACTCATGATCCTCCTGTCTCAGCCTTTCAGAGTGGTAGGATTACAGGCATGTACCACTGTGCCCCAGTAAGCCACTTTCACTTCTTAAGCAGTACTCATATTTTCTATGACTAGCTCTGATGTATCCCACTATATGAAAGGGACAATTTTTTTCAGGTAATCACTGCCCCATAGCACCTGGTATTAGGAATTTTTTCCCTTGTTTTTCATTGCTGTCTTATATAGTTTTTCCATGACTTTTTCTGTGTAGGAGACATGCAACTCAAGATAATCACCTGAAGATAGGATGCTCTTAAATAATTTGAATTTTTATGTTTCTCCATGGAATTTCTCCAAATTCCACCTCTTTTGGAATTTCTGTATACTGGCTTGACATGCTTAAATTGTGACTCCCTTTGTTTTGGGGAGACAGCTTTTTACTGTAAATAGGTCTTTCCATCTATAAACTTCTAGTTAGTAATTGCCAAGTACATATAAAATCTGTAGCACAGAAAAATTTTATTTTCTATATTACTGAATAAATTATGCTATCATAAACTTATCATGGAAGTATTTACCTTGTGACCTCAACACCTAAAATATACCTGAGAACCAAGACACATAGGAAAGAAAACGTGTCTCAGTAGAAAAAAATTGATATTGGAAGACCCCAAATTTATCTCATTTCATGCATAATTCTTAAATTCCATTATCTTTTGCCAATTAGTTTGGAGTGCATAAGTATGCTAAATACACAGACTAATAATTATGTTCATAATGGTAAGATTAAACCAATGTGCAATAAGACTTTAAATCACTTCATTGCTTCCATTTTTCAGGCAAAGAAGTGTGCAATCTGTTTAACCAAAGAAAAAATGTATAAGAGTAGTTATGTCACAAAATGTTTTGGCTTCCAAAGAGCAAACTTCAATTACTTAGAATGTATCGTTATGTGGAACTATTCATTTGCTGATAATTGATGAACAATGTTGTTCCTTTGGACACCTATCAATAAGTGGAAAATGAGAAATGGTGTGTATTTTCAACAACTATTTAAAAAACCTTTTGTATCAGTTACATTATATAATGTATGTATGATACATCATAGGTCACTGAGGACTCTATTATGGCTTTAACTCTCTGAGCTGGCCAGATAAAATAACTAAACCAGGCAGAGTTCTCTTTCAGATAAACATGATGTGGTGGTTTATCTTTGTATTTTTCAGTAAAATTAAGGCTAAACATGTGGTCTTAGAAAAGTAATTTGGGTCCTTGTTCCTTTACCCTCATGATTCCTTCTTAGCTGTCCTATCCTTTGAACTACTCTTTCAGTAATATAACTATTCCATCTTTTTCAATAATTCCTTCATCTTCAGGCACTCATTGGAGTGGGTTCACAGTATCATAAGTTATAGTGACATAAGCATAACTGAGGTTATATTCAAGAGGAAGGCCAAAGGTCTAATCACACAGCTAGTTAGACATTGAACTAGAGGATGGGGTTTTGGCCCTGAGTCCCACATTCCTCTTGACCTAACACAATGCCCTGCTTTATTTATTTTTACACCCTTTACAGCCAATATGAACATTCTCACGGTTAGATATCTCCTAATACAGAATAAATCTTTTACCATTTATACTTTATCAACCGCTATTCAGGATAACTGAAATATAATTGATTTTCCAGGAATCAGATAGAGACTGAAGGACCTACAGTGAACTTTACAAACCTCTGATTATTTATTTACTTACTTAATTATAACTATGTTGAGATCTCAAACAAGTTTACTTTAAGACTTCCTATTTGAGTTGCTTTCAAAAATTCAAAATAAAAATGTAAGCAAAGCTAAAGCTAAATTATAATGATGAAGTTTGCAAAAAGTTGAACAGAAAGAGTAAGACAGTTTACTTACAAGGAAGTACCTAACAATAAACACCTGGATGTGGTTAGACTTATGAAAAAAAGAAACAAGGAGACTGCAGGCAAAAAGACCAAGTGAAACCCTGTTTGCAAACATTGTTCCCTGTCTCAGCCTCCTAGTTTCCTTTTTTATTTCATGGATAAGTCAGCACAAGTTGACTATGCTAGAATTATAAAAAATAAAACAGTTATAGACAAAGGTATTGGGGCCTCAGGAAGCTTCCATCTAATTAAGGAGGTAATATTACACTGGGAAAATAACACTGTAAAGATGCACAAATCACCTTGAATAGCTATGCACAGGAGTAACCTCAGCTGGGGATTGGGGGGCAATGCTTCCTGGAAAGTTTGTATTTGAGCTGAACCTCAGTGACTGAATAATCCTTTTATAATTAGAATAGAGGTTGGGGAGATATTTTTTTCATCTTTCTTTTCTTAGACAGGATCTCACTATGTAGTTCAGGCCTACCTTGAACTCACTATGGGGATAGACTGGCCTGGAACTCACTATAATCTTCCTGCCTCAGCCTCCAAGTGCTGGGATTGCAGGTGTGCATCACCATGCCCAGCAAGAGGGAGATTTTAGGGATGAAAAACATGGTGAGCTTTCAGTCTAGAAGTCTCATGATCAATTAAAGGAACTGATCCACAGCTAACTCACGGTTTCCTGTAGATCACATGGAACCACTGACTGTTTCAGAATAAATGTAATAAATATCAGGTGGAAGAAGTTTAAGGTCTTCCTGTCCACAGTAAGAAACTGTGGCGAAAAATGTTGGGGACATTTATAAAGTCATGGAAAAGGCTAAAAATGAGAGTACTCACTTGCTGGTTGTTTCAGATGCAAATGTATTGTCTCAATTTGGTACAGCCACCCAATCTCAACAGCACTAAATTTCTTCAACTTAAGGTAAAGGACAGAAATATAAAAATAGTGAAGTTCCTTCCCACCACTCTCCTTTAACACCCAAATGCACAACTTCACTTTCCTCAAAGTGTGACTTACAGTATAAAGCCATTTGTAGTCTGAAATTTCCATCCTCATTACAATATGTTACTCTACTATTGAGTCAAAGAGCTGTCACCTGATGCTAGAAGCACAATTAAACAGGCCTTCTCTTCAGCATTCTGTAACTACGTGCTTGGGAGGAGTGCACAAAGCCGATTAGAAGCAGAGAGAATAGCAGACTGATGTCTTGGCTGCATCCCTGACTTGCAATGGGGTTATGAAAACATCATTGTGGTTCTTGAATATTCTTATCAGCAGGACGGAGATCACTGACTCATCAGCTGGCACAGGAATTTTCTTGTGCATAGATGATGAACGCTTGCAAACATTTAGAATCATCAGAGGTATTCTCTCTGTGCACAGACAAGACGTTACACTTCCTGTCTCTCAGAGATTACAACTGATGTTTGCAAAAGTGATTTGGTGAATCAAATGGCACGATTATAATTTTCCATCTGACAAGCGTATTGGCAATTTTTTCTACCTGTCCTGAGTTACATAAATCCATCCTACGACACTCAAGATACAAGAGGATTGGCGTATCACACATTTTCTAAAAAGGGATGAAAATCTTAGTTGTTCTAGGTTGTGGCTTATTCGCCAACTCTCAGTTATTATTGTTCTTGCTGTTTTCTTCAAACATTCATATCTGATAGTAGGGAATTTTCAATGCCAAAAGTAATGAAAGAAGAGGATGAAAACTTCAACCACTTGTTGCTTTCATATAATGAAATATCTATTTTCATGTCACTATACATTAGAAAGCTTTATTTTTAAAATTCTTAAGAAAACCATTTGTACATTATCATGTTGTGTCTATTTCATGACCTGGTCATACCTAGTGTGTGTGAGACTTAGAATACATCATTTTGAACAACCCTTACCTCAGTATTGAAAAATATTTTCAGAAACAATCATCAAATGGAAAAAAATAATGAAGTGGCTAGAAGAGAAATATAGTGAATATTTGCTTGCATTGAACTTTATATGTACAAATATGCAAGTGAATAAACATTTGAAAAATATCAAAATATAAAAACATGCACAGCTACTTAGTAATTGGAATGGTGTGAGATTTGAACCTTTAGTTACAGTGTGATGATACAGTAGCTTGTAAAAATAATTGTCCACTAGCTCATAAATGAATTTTATTAAATTAACAATTGAATCTTTACTAAAATTAAAATTCTACAAATTACAATTTAGGCAACTACTAAACTGTACCACTAATGTATAGTTTTTTTTTAATTTGATACTCAGTTTTAAAATGATTAACTCTTTTAAAAGAATGTATCTCAATAAGTATGTTAGCCAATAAGACATTTCATGTGTGAACTAAAGTTACCAAGCAAAAATATTGTAACCCACAACCTCTTCTCTGTTCTATTGTTTTAAACATCAAAGACAAATAAAATCCAACACAGCTGCACATGACAGAAAAGAGGCAGTTTCAATTGTGCGTCCTTGTCTCTATAATCATTGTGTGGTGTTACTGTTTATTTAAAGTGGACTTCTGGAATGTAGGAATATATAGTACCACACAGCCAGGGAATAAAATCCAGTGATTCTG